AACACAATATTTATCAAGCACTAACAAAATGTAAACAATAGAAAATTAGCAAAATCTTTACAACCCCCCCCCTATTTTCTTGGAGAATAAAAGGAGATATTTTGAACTTTCTCATTCAATGAAGAAACATTTTGGGACATAACATTATTTGATTCTATATTTTTGTATTAAGTGGACCTTACAACTATGGATTAGAAATTGTTCCTCAAGGCTTAAAAGTAAAGTTAAAGGTTGCCCTCGCACATATGTGCTAGTCGTTCCTGACTCTAGGGGATGGTGCTCATCTCCGTTTCAAAGCCAAAGAGCCAGTGCTGTCTGAAGACATCTCCGTGGTCTTGTGGCCAGCATGACTAGGAGCACCCGGAGGCTCCAGCTGGTCCAGAACGCAGCAGCGCGGGTAGTGACGGGAGCAGCATGGCGCTCCCATGTAACACCGCTCCTGCGCGAGCTGCACCGGCTCCCAGTTGTCTTCCGGGTGCGCTTCAAGGTGTTGGTTATCACCTTTAAAGCGCTCCATGGCATAGGGCCTAGCTATCTTCGAGACCGCCTGCTGCTACCAACGACCTCCCATCGACCCGTGCGCTCCCACAGAGAGGGCCTCCTTGGGGTGCCATCAGCCAGACAATGTAGGCTGGTGACCCCCAGGGGGAGAGCCTTCTCTGTGGGGGCTCCCACCCTCTGGAATCAGCTTCCCCCAGAGATAAGGAGAATCCAAGACCTCAGTGCCTTCCGTCGCGCCCTTAAAACCCATTTATTTAAACAAGCCGGGCTGGCTTAAGATGAAATTTTTAACTGTTTTTAAATGTTTTAAACGTTTTTAATTGGTAAATGAGTTTTAATTGGGCCAAATTTATATATCTTTTAATTGTTTTTAATATTTGTTCTGCATGTTTTTTAATCTGGCTGTACACCGCCCTGAGTCCTCAGGGAGAAGGGCGGTATAGAAATCCAATATAAAATAAAATAAAATAAATAAAAGACTAAACGACAAAGGCACACGGAACGCTGTTACCTTCCCACCAAAGGTGGTCCCTATTTTTCTACTTGCATTTTTTACGTGCTTTCAAACTGCTTGGTTGGCAGAAGCTGGGACAAGTAACGGGAGCTCACCCCATAACGCGGCACTAGGAATTCAAACCGCTGAACTGCCGATCTTTCGATTGACAAGCTCAGCATCTTAGCCACTGAGCCACTGCATCCCTATTATTTATTTATTATTTATTGGTTCGATTTATATGCCGCCCTTCTCCGGAGACTCAGGGCGGTTTATTTTATTTTATTTATTTTATTTTATTTTGAATTTGTATACCGCCCTTCTCCCTGAGGACTCAGAGCGGTGAACAGCCAAGTAAAAACATCAAGTACAAATATTAAAATACAGTTAAAATATACATATATAAATTTGGCCCCATTAATTAAAAACAATAAACAAAACACTTAAAAACACTTTAAAAATTAGGCCAGTCCGGCTTGCTGGAAAAGGAAGGTTTTAAGGGCATGGCGGAAGGCACTGAGGTCTTGGATTCTCCTTATCTCTGGAGGCAATTGATTCCAGAGGGTAGGTGCCCCCACAGAGAAGGCCCTCCCCCTGGGGGACACCAGCCTGCACTGTTTGGCTGATGGCACCCCGAGGAGGCCCTCTCTGTGGGAGCGCACGGGTCGATGGGAGATCGTCGGTGGCAGCAGGCGGTCTCGAAGATAGCTAGGTCCTATGCCATGGAGCGCTTTAAAGGTGATAACCAACACCTTGAAGCGCACCCGGAAGACCACTGGGAGCCAGTGCAGCTCGCGCAGGAGCGGTGTTACATGGGAGCGCCAGGCTGCTCCCGTCACTACCCGCGCTGCTACATTCTGGACCAGTTGGAGCCTCCGGGTGCTCCTCAAGGGGAGCCCCATGTAGAGAGCGTTGCAGTAGTCAAGGCGAGAGGTGACGAGGGTATGAGTGACTGTGCACAGGGAATCCCAATCAAGAAAGGGCCGCAACTGGCGGATCAGGCGAACCTGACAAAAGGTCCCCCTGGTTACAGCCGTCAGATGTTCCTCCAAGGACAGCTGCCTATCCAGGAGGACTCTCAGATTGCGAGCCCTCTCTGTGGGGGCCAACGACTCTCCCCCAATAGTCAGTGATGGAGTCAACTGACTATATCGGGATGCCGGGAGCCACAGCCACTCAGTCTTGGAAGGGTTGAGCCTGAGCCTGTTCCTCCCCATCCAGATCCGCACAGCCTCCAGGCACTGGGACATCACTTCAAGGGCATCGTTGGGGTGGCCTGGGGTGGAGATGTACAGCTGGGTGTCATCAGCGTACTGGTGGTATCTCACCCCAAAGCCACGGATGATCTCGCCCAGCAGCTTCACATAAATGTTGAACAGGAGGGGCGAGAGGACCGACCCCTGAGGCACTCCACATATAAGAGGCCTTGAGGTCGACCTCTGCCCCCCTGCCAACACGAACTGCAACCGGTCGGAGAGAAAGGAGGAGAACCACCGTAATACGGTGCCCCCCATCCCCAACTCTCCGACCGGTGCAGCATGATACCATGGTCGATGGTATCAAAAGCCGCTGAGAGGTCTAACAGGACCAGAACAGAGGAACAACCCCTGTCCCGAGCCCTCCAGAGATCATCAACCAACGCGACCAATGCCATTTCCATGCTGTGTCCAGGCCTGAAACCCGACTGGAACGGATCTAGATAGGATGTTTCCTCCAAGAATTGTGGAAACTGTCGCGCGACCACACTCTCAACAACCTTCGCCAGGAAGCGAAGGTTGGAGATAGGACGATAGTTGGCCAATATTGCCGGATCCAGGGACGGCTTCTTGAGGAGAGGCCTCACCACTGCTTCTTTCAAGGCGGCGGAGAAGTGACCCTCACTCAACGAAGTGTTGATAATACCCTGGAGCCAGCCTCGTGTAACCTCCCGGGAGGCCAGTACCAACCAGGAGGGACACGGGTCCAGTAAACATGTGGCCGCACTAAGTCTCCCCAAAATCCTGTCCACATCATCCGGAGTCACAGCATCAAACTCCTCCCAGGTAACATTCTCAAGACTATTCCTCATCACCCTGCCCTGATCTACCCAGTCAGAGTCCAAATCCCCCTGGATCTGAGCGATTTTGTCATACAGGTATTGTCCGAAATCCTCCGCCCTGCCTTCCAAGGGATCCTCCCACGCTCCCGGATGGAGCAGGGAGCGGGTTACCCTGAACAGGGCGGCCAGACGATTCCCTGATGACGCAATAGAGGCGGAAAAGTAGTTAAACTTTGCCGTCTTTATCGCCACTAGGTAGGTCTTAATATGCGACCTTACCAGTGTTCGGTCAGATTCAGCGAGACTGGCCCTCCAACCGCTCTCTAGGCGTCTTTTCCGGCATTTCATCTCCCTCAGCTCCTCGGTGAACCAAGGAGCCGCGAGGGATCGACACCGGGTCAGAGGCCGCAAAGGCACGACTCGATCCAAGGCCCCACCAGCCGCCCGATCCCAGGCAGCTACCAGGTCCTCGGCCGAGTCGTGTGCCAGATCTTCAGGAATTGGCCCAAGCTCCATCTGGAACCTATCAGGATCCATCAGGCGCCTGGGGCGGATCCATCTAATTGGGTCCGCCTCCCTGCGCCGGGGTGTAGCGGTTCGAAGGTCCAGACGAAGGAGTGAGTGATCTGACCATGACAAGGGTTTCATGTCTATATCCCCTATAATAAGACCACTCAACCACTGGCCAGAGACAAAAATCAGGTCCAGCGTGTGTCCCTCCCTGTGAGTGGGGCCATGAACTAACTGGGTCAGGTCCATGGCCATCATGGAAGCCATGAACTCCCGAGCCATCTCTGACATTTCACCAATGGACGGCAGATTGAAATCACCCATGACCATAAGCCTGGGTGTATCAACTGCCACCGTGGCTATCACGTCGAGTAGCTCGGGCAGGGCCGTTGCCACGCAGCAGGGAGCCAGGTACGTAAGCAGCAAGCCCATCTGAACCCCATGACCCCATCTCACAGAGAGGGACTCACATCCGGTAATCTGTGGCACAGTGGTCTCCCTCGGACCCAGACCTTCGTTAATAATAACCGCCACCCCCCCGCCCCTCCCCTGGGCCCTCGGCTGATGGAATGCTCTGAAGCCTGGTGGACACATCTCAACCAGAGGGACCCCTCCCTCCGGGCCCAACCAGGTCTCCGTAATACCCGCCAGGTCCACTCCCCCCTCTTGAATAAGATCATAAATGAGGGGGGCCTTATTTACCACGGACCTGGCGTTGCACAGCATCAATGCGTTAAGCAATAGCCTTCATACTTTTTATATATACCTGCTTAGTAGGGCTTTTGCCCCCCCCCACAAACGGTGTTCTTTTTTATACAAAGTCAGCTTATTGCCCCCACAATCTGGGTCCTCATTTTACCTACCTCGGAAGGATGGAAGGCTGAGTCAACCTTGAGCCTGGTGAGATTTGAACTTGTAGTAATTGCAGGCAGCTGGCAGCTAAGTGCTACTTAACAGCACTTTAGTCCACTGCACCACCAAGGCTCCTCAAGGCTTAGTCACTATTAATGTGCTTGGGAAAAGGAAGGAAGGAAGGAAGGAAGGAAGGAAGGAAGGAAGGAAGGAAGGAAGGAAGGAAGGAAGGAAGGAATCTCCTAATTCCTATGTTGTTAGGAAAATTATTTCTTTGCTACATTGACTCATTTTTGAGAAATTGTGGAATTGTTGAAGTGTTTGTTTCAGTTTTCCTGTGAGAATTTTACTATGTACTCAAAGGAAAATAAGAACAAAGCATGCCTGGCATCACTTTTCTTAGGACTGGAACATTATTTAAAAGACACATGTTTAAGATCTGTGCAACAAATATATCTAAGTGAATGCACTCAGGGGCTCTTTTATCCTAAGCAATATGTAAATCAGGGCACAATTACCCTTTTAAAGGAACTGCATGGTTTCCCTTTTCAGGCTACACCCACCAACACAAAGTTTGTGCACTTTCCCAAATTCTCTACTATCAGTTCCCCTCCATTCATTAGAGGGAGCAGAAATGATCCTGTGGCTAAATTTGGTGTCCTTACTAGCAGTCCTCAGAGGTAATTCTATCCCCTGTATTCAGCTCTTTCCATGCTAATTCTTGCAAACAGAAGATCTCACTGAAACTCCTTTCCTTTTAGGTGTGAAATCTGAGGTTCATTTGGTGGAATCTGGAGGGGATGTCAGAAGTCCTGGGCAGTCACTTGATCTCTCCTGCCAAGCTTCTGGTTTCGACTTTGGTGGCTCCCAGATGAACTGGGAGAGACAGGCTCCTGGGAAAGGACTGGAATGGGTGGCATACATAAGCCCCAGCTCTGGTACTATTTACTACTCAGACAAAGCAAAGGGACGCTTCACCATCTCCAGGGACAATGCCAAAAGCCAGCTGTATCTGCAAATGAACAGCCTCAAAGCCGAAGACACAGCAGTCTATTACTGTGCGAGAGGCACAGTGGAAGGAAGTGAATTGGAAGCCAGACAAGAATCTTTTCTTCATCTCAATTTTTTTCAGAAGGTAGAATTTGTGTGTTTAAAGGGACAAGCAGCTAAATCTCCGTGATACAACACAGAATCCCAGATCAGATCTTTGAAAAAGCAGTGTGAAACTTTCTTGACATTTTGATAGGTGAAAAGAAGGAAATCTCCAGGCTGTGGAATAAGCTCTGTAGTTTGTAAAAAGTGGCTTCCTAGATAATCCTGTTGAAATTCACACTCAGCCAATGGAAATGAATCATCGGTGTTGAACAAGAGACAGTAAGAATGGTTATCCTAGAAAATCTAAGTACGAAAATAGTACACAATACGTTTTGATAAATGAAGCTGCAATAGCAATAGCACTTAGACTTATATTTTGCTCCGTAATGCTTTACAGCTCTCTCTAAGCCGCTTACAATATCAGCATATTGTCCCCAGCAATCTGGGTCCTCATTTTACTGACCTCAGAAGGATAGAAGGCTGGGTTAAGCAGTCAAGATCGAACTCCTGGCTGTGGGCAAAGTTAGCCTGCAATACTGCATTCTAACCATTGGGTCACCAGGGAAATACCCACGCAACGCTCACTGTATTGGGTAATATAAGCCATGTGTGAGTTAATAATCGATGTGCTTTGCCAAATATAGATGAAACTTAATTATTTGTAGAATATAAAGATAAGTATCTGTAGAAATAACTAATTTATACTCAATCAATTTCTTCTTTCTCTGTCTTTTCTCTGGTTCCAACTCTGATTTACAAATTGTGCCTCATCAGTTGATCCATATTCAGCTTTCGGTTCCCTCCCCCCCCCCCAAAAAAATGGCAGAAAGCTTTTACTAAACATTGATGTGATCTTCCCTTCGTGTTCTATCTCCAAATGTAACTCTTTCAAAATTATAATTGCACGTTCATCTCCTGTTACTTTGAATCACTTTCAAAGCAGGGGTGAAATCCAGCAGGATCAGACAGGTTCTGGAGAACCGGTAGCAGAAATTTTGAGCAGTTCAGCGAACTGGTAGCAGAAATTTTGAGTAGCTCGGAGAACAGGCAAATACCACCTCTGGCTGGCCCCAGAGTGGGGTGGGAATGGAGATTTTACAATATCCTTCCCCCAGGTGTGGGGGAGGGAATAGGGATTTTGCAGTATCCTTCCCCCAGGCATGGGGAAGGGAATGGGGATTTTGCAGTATCCTTCCCCTGCCATGCCCACCAAGCTACGCCCACCAAACCAAACCACACCACGTCCACCAAGCCACGCCCACAGAACCAGTAGTAAAAAAAAGCCACTGCTTTTGAGAAACAGTGAAATTTTGCAAATCTCTGCTAATAATTTACAGTTTAAAAACAGGAGTCTGCCTTCACTTTTATTAAGATTGTAATGTTATGTGAAAGTCCCCCATGTAAGGAGACTACAAAGAAAACTGTGAGAATAATGCACCGAGGGGGTCTTTTATCTGAAGCAATATGTAAATCAAGGTACAATTTCTCCTTTAAAGGATCCACCTGATTTCTCTTTTCAGGCTACACCCACCCACACAAAGTTTGTGTATTTTCCTGAATACTTTCCTCTCAATTCCCTTCATTCATTACAAGGAACAAAAATGATCCCATGGCTGAATTTGGTGCTCTTGCTAATGCTCCTTCAAGGTAATTTTTCCCTCTTTAAAGAATTTCCTTTCATATATATATATATATATATATATATATATATATATATATATATATATATATATATATATATATATATATTTGAGCACATTGCCATGTGCTCAAAAGCCCGATTGGGCTTATTATCAGGGGATGTCTTATTTTGGGGAAAACAGGGTATGTATGTAAAATATTTATTCAAACACTTTTGTTTTTAGGAGTCCATTCTCAAGTCCAGTTGGTGGAGTCTGGAGGGGATGTGAGAAGACCTGGAGATTCCCTCCGTCTCTCCTGCCAAGCCTCTGGATTCACCTTCAGCAGCTACGGCATGAGCTGGGTGAGACAGGCTCCAGGGAAAGGACTAGAATGGGTTGCAAGCATGGGTACATCCTCCACTTACTACCCAGATAAAGTCAAGGGACGCTTCACCATCTCCAGAGACGATGCCAAAAGCCAGCTCTATCTGCAAATGAACAATCTGAAAGCAGAGGACACAGCTGTCTATTACTGTGCAAGATACACAATGAGAGGAAGTGAATCAGATGCCAGGCAAAAACCTTCTCTTCAGTGGTGGGATTCAAAAATGTTTACTACCGATTCTGTGGCTTGGTGGGCATGGCAGAGGAAGGATACTGTAAAATCTCCATTTCCACCCCACTCCAGGGGAAGGATAATGTAAAATCCCCATTTCCTCCTGATCAGCTGGGACTCGGGAGGCAGAGAATAGATGGGGGCGGGGCCAGTCAGAGGTGGTATTTACCAGTTCTCTGAACTATTCAAAATTTCTTCTACCAGTTCTCCAGAACTGGTCAGAATCTGCTGAATACCACCTCTGCTTCTCTTCCCCTCAGCAGCTCTCCAAATTTATTCCAAAAGTTGAATTTGTGTATTTGAGGATAAATCTCCCTTAACAGGTTGTGGAACCTCAAATCTGACCCTTGAAGAAACAGTATGGGATGTTAGCAATTTGATAGGGGAGAAAAAAAAGCAGGAAATCTCCAGGCTGTGGAATAAACTGTGTAGCTTTTAAAAAGTTAAAATTTATTTGCAGGTAGAAAAATGTTAGTTGGTTTAGTTTAGTTTATTGAGTAGCCCGTAGGCCATGTTAAAATACAGCGTTCCAAACACCTATTATTACTACAATCTTATAAATATAATTGAAAATGAAATTGGAATAAAATACAATTGAAATTGGAATTGGAATAAAATGCAATCATTTAATATATAGATACAGTAGTGGCCAAAATTGTAGAAACTTTTTGGGAAAAGTGTATTTTTGAGCTTTGATGGCTAATAACACCACTTTTTTTTTTTTTTTTTGAGTTTCAAGATAATCATATTCCACTGCTGGAATGGCCTGGGAATGGCTCAGACCTTAACCCAATTGAAAATCTATGGCGCCAACTAAAGAAACTTGTTAGTCAGAAGCGACCCAGGAATAAAACTAGGGGTGAAATCCAGCAGGTTCTGATAGGTTCTGGAGAACTGGTAGCGGAAATTTTGAGCAGTTTGGAGAACCGGTAGCGGAAATTTTGAGTAGTTCGGAGAACCAGCAAATACCACCTCTGGCTGGCCCCAGAGTGCATGGGAATGGAGATTTTGCAATATCCTTCCCCCAGGAGTGGGAAGGGAATGGGGATTTTGCAGTATCCTTTCCCTGCCACGCCCACCAAGCCATGCCCACCAAGAAACACCACACCCACCAAGCCACGCCCACAGAACCGGTAGTAAAAAAAAATAAATTTCACCACTGAATAAAACCCAGTTAATAGAATCAATCATTCAATCTTGGTTTCACGTTATAACAACTGCAGAACTAAAAGACTTAAAACAAGTCATGCTTGTGTAAAAAAAAAGAAAAAAGAAGAGTTCTACGATTTGTAAACCCACTTGCAGGATTTCTGTTTATGTCGAAGTGCTCACCCCAAGTAAAAGGTGATGAATTAGCATTTTTTCCATTTGGCTTTGAAAAAGTAATTTTCGGAGGGATGAGGGGGGAGCTTTCTTTTACATTGTTTGATGAAGTTGACAAAACCTCCCTTTCATTCATCATAAACATTCCTGCCCCTTATTGTCTGATATGCTAAACACTTGCTAACCATCACCAAACTATTTTGTCATAGTTTATCCAAGGAACTGAAAAGAACAAAGGAGCGAGAAGGCTTTTTATTTTGAAGGATATGTAAATTGCAAGAGAACTTCCTCTTTAAATAATATCAAGTTTCTTCCCAAGTTGCAAGGAGAAATATAAAGGGTGACTGCATGTTTGAATGTTTTCAACAACTATCTCCCGTCCAAGTATAGAAAAATGATATCTTGGCTCTATTTGACATTTTTAGGAGTAGTTCTCAGAGGTAACTTTTCTCGTTCATACTCCACACCCTTACATTTCTCTCCTTTTATACATAAGAAAACTCAGAAATTATTCATTTCTCCAGGTGTCCAATCTGAGGTCCAGTTGGTGGAGTCTGGAGGGGATGTGAGAAGACCTGGAGAGTCCCTCAGTCTCTCCTGCCAAGCCTCAGGATTCAATTTTGATGGTTCTAACATGAACTGGCTGAGACAGGCCTCAGGGAAGGACCCAGAATGGGTGGCATGGATAGAAAATGATGGAGGACATATCTACTACTCGAACAAAGCGAAGAGACGCTTCACCATCTACAGAGACAATGCCAAAAGCCAGCTGTATCTGCAAATGAACCACCTCAAACTAGAAGACACGGCAGTCTATTACTGTGCAAGATACACAGTGAGAGGAAGTGAATCAAAAACCAGACAAGATCCTTCCCCTCCTCTGAGCTGCTTTCTGAATTGAATCTCATGTACGACCAATAAGGAGTTTCTTTGGTTGCTCTAGGAAGAAAAGGATTATAGTATCACACAGTAAGCAAACAAAACACCTGAAAGAGACACAAACACAGAACAAAGCAGAAATAATTCTCTATCTCTTCCCCCTCCTCACATTTACGACGCCCCAAGCAGATGCTCTTGCCAAATCTGATTCTCTTTTATCCTGAAGTATATGTAAATACTGGCCTAACCTTCCTCTTTATATGACATCATCTCCCCCCCTCCTCAACCTGTGGCTGAAGACCAAAAGCCCATCTGCCTGGAACTTCTCCACTCAGAAAGAAAAATGATATTTTTGCTCCAACTGGTCTCCATTTTAGCAATCGTTAAAGGTAATGGTTCTTCCATTCAGAGATGGAAGCTAACATGCTCCAATATGCTTGAAGTGAATGGGATGATGGATAGTTAAAATGTACATATCAATATTATCTTTCCAGATGTCCAAATAGAGGTCCAGTTGGTGGAATCTGGAAGGGATGTGAGAAGGCCTGGGGAGTCCCTCCATCTCTCCTGCCAAGCTTCAAGCGTCATCTTCAGCACCTATGATATGAATTGGGTGAGGCAGGATCCTGGTAAAGGACTGGAGTGGGTTGCATGGATAGACAATGCCAGAGATGGGAGCACCCAATACTATGCTTCTTCTGTGAAAGGCCATTTTACCATCTCCCGGCGAGATGCCTCCAGCATGCTTTATCTCCAAATGAACAGCCTGAAACCAGAGGACATGGCTGTGTATTACTGTGCTGGAATATCACAGTGAGAGGAAGCTATGGGGAAGCCTGTCAAAATCCCTTATTGTTCATGGCTACCGTCCAAGTTGAGTCAGCTTTCCTGGTCACAATCAAACAAGGGAAATTACATCTCCATGCAGAAAAATAGAGCAGAACCCCTTTCATTTTCTCCACTGGTAATCTAAAGAAGCCACAAATATTGAAGTAGTTGATCATTTCTGACCCAGTTTCTATTTGCTAGAACAGATGAAGAATGGTTTACTATTTACTCCCAGGAAAAGAAGAACAAAGCATGTCTTGCATGACTTTTCTTAGGAATGGAGCATTCTTTGAAAGTCACACATGTTAGGTCTATCCAAAAAACCTCTAAGTGAATGCATTCAGGGGCTCTTTTATTCAAAGCAATATGTAAATCAGGACACGATTTGCCCTTTAAAGGAGCTGCATGTTTTCCCTTTTCAGGCTACACCCTCCAATACAAAGTTCCTAGACTTTTCAAAATTCTCCACCATCAATTCCCCTCCGTTCATTAGAGGGAGCAAAAATGATCCGGTGGCTAAACTTACTATCCTTACTAGCAGTCCTCAGAGGTAATTCTTTCCTTTGTATTCAGATTTTTCCATTTTAATTCTTATATACAGGAGTGTTTGTTAAAACAACTTTCATTTTAGGTGTCCAATCTGAGGTCCAGTTGGTGGAGACTGGAGGGAATGTGAGAAGACCAGGAGAGTCCCTCCGTCTCTCCTGCCAAGGTTCTGGATACAACTTTGGTGATTCCAGCATGAACTGGGTGAGACAGGCTCCTGGGAAAGGACTGGAATGGGTAGCCTACATAAGATATGATTCCAGTACTGTTAACTACTCAGACAAAGTGAAGGGCCGCTTCACCATCTCCAGGGACAATGCCAAAAGCCAGCTGCATCTGCAAATGAACAGCCTCAAGCCAGATGACACATCAATCTATTACTGTACTAGACACACAGTGAGAGGAAGTGAATCTTAAACCAGACAAGAACCTTCCCTCCCTCAGAGTAGATATCCAAGTGGATTCAGTCACAGAAACTTGAATTTGAGTCCTTGAACTGATGATCCGGTGATCCTCATCATAGCATTAGAATATTCCATGGATCAGTATATATTTTAAGACTTAAAAAAAAAAAACCTGAGACCCCCTTAAATTAGGGAAAATAGAAGCCCAAAGATACATTATCTTCTTGAATTGAAGGTGAAGGGAACTGCTGCATTTACAATTACAAGGAATCAGTAAATGGTTCATAGAGCTCACAATATGGAGTTGCGAGTAAGACAACAGGGAATGGACTAGAATGGATTGTATGATGCCCCTAAACAAGTCTATGCAGAATCCATGAAATGGTGCTTTCCCATCTCCAGAGACTAAATGTTGGAAATGTAATAAAAAAATTGGACACATATTATCACCTGTGGTGGACGTGCCCAAAAGCCAAAAAAAAAAAAAAAAAATGATGAAAATGCATATTTGCTAAGAAAAAAATATTAAACCAGTTTATAGATTTTAAGCCAGAACTTATTATTAGGCATAATACCAGAAAAATATGATAAAGTGAATATATATTTGATATTGCATGTTTGAACAGCAGCAAGAATTGCATTTGCATAACATTGGAACAGTGAGGAAACACCTACGGAAGAAGATACAAAAATATATATATATTGGACTGTGCAGAAATGGACAGTCTGAAGATAAAGGAAAAAGAAGACACTGAATATTTTCAAACTTGGGATTTGTTTTATCAATGGTTGGATCAAAGGGATGGAAATTAGGGTTAATAAGTATTAATAATTAATACTTTTAAGTATTAAGTATTATTAATAATAGGTATTACTATGTAAATAAATTGACCCAGACAGTATGCTGTTCACCAAGCACATATTGTTTGTAAAGAGAAAACAAATAAAAATATATTCATAGATAGATAGATAGATAGATAGATAGATAGATAGATAATTCTGCCTAGTTGATTCTATATAGCAGTACATTTACAGATAAGGCGAGCTATTAGAATTATCCCTGCAGGTGATGGACCATCCCTTTCCTCTATCTAATTAATAAAACAAGTCATGCTTACATAAAAAATAAAATAAAAAAGAGTTCCTAAATTTGTAAATCCAGTCAGAGGATTTTCGTTTATGTCGAAGTTCTCATCCTTGAAGGAAAATGTACTAAATTATCATTTTTCCACATGACTTTGAAAAGGACAATTTAATTTTTTGGGGGGAGGAGAGGGCAGCTTTCCTTTGCATCGTTTTAGTAAATTGACCAAATCTCCCTTTTCTTCTGCATAAATATTCATCTGCTTGTCTCTTTGGTACTTCAGCCACTTGGTAACCATCACCAACGTATCTCTTCAATAGACATCCAAGGAACTGAGGAGAAGAAAGGAGCAAGAAGGCCTTTTATTTTGAGGGCTATGTAAATTGCAGGACGACTTCTTCTTTAAATAAGTAAGACCACTTTTGTCCCCAGGTTGTAAGGAGAAGTATAAAGGGTGGCTGTGGGTTGAAGGCTTTTCATACAAGTTAACAAAAATGTCATTTTGTCTCTATTTGATATTTTTAATAGCAGTTCTCAGAGGTAAATGTTCTTATTCATACACCACACTCTTCCATTCCTCCCGTTTTATATGTAACAAATCTCAGAAATTATTTTTTTTTCCAGGTGTCCAATCTGAGGTCCAGTTGGTGGAGTCTGGAGGGGATGTGAGAAGACCTGGGGAATCCCTCCGTCTCTCCTGCTAAGCCTCTGGATTCACCTTCAGCATCTATTGGATGAGCTGGGTGAGACAGGCTCCAGGGAAAGGACTGAAATATGTGGCAAGGATACACTATGATGCTGCATATACTTACTACTCAGACAAAGTGAAGGGCCACTTCACAGTCTCCAGGGACAATGCCAAAAGCCAGCTGTATCTGCAAATGAGCAGCCTCAAAGCTGAAGACACAGCGGTCTATTATTGTGTGAGAGACACAATGAGAGGAAGTGAATCTGAAGCCAAGCAAAAACCTTCAGTAATATTCGTTAAAGTAAGCCACTCACAAGTGATCTGATGGAGGTTTGTTTGAATGATTCAAAACATTATGACCAAGACATACATCCCATAATTCTATAATATTTAGGAGACATGATAACATTTCCCCCCTTTTCTACTCCCTAAAAATTACGCTAGAGTTAGTAAGCAGAAACATTTCCTATGAATAATTTTGAAATCGGCTTTCATTTTTCTTAAGAGACCTCTGTAGATCTCCTTGAGATCAGTCACTCTCCCAAAGCTAATTTCCCTGTTTAGAATAGAAGCAGATGTTAAATTTGCTATCTCTGCTCCATCTGCTTATCACTAGAGGGCAGCCTTCCCTCTAGCGATATCCCAAAGAATATTATCCTGCTACATTTTTGCTTGAAAAATTGCCCAGTGGTTTCTTCTTCTTCTTCTTCTTCTTCTTCTTCTTCTTCTTCTTCTTCTTCTTCTTCTTCTTCTTCTTCTTCTTCTTCTTCTTCTTCTTCTTCTTCTTCTTCTTCCTCCTCCCCCCTCTCCCCTCCCCTCCTCCTCCTCCTCCTCCTCCTCCCGCTCCCGTTCCCCTTCTCCTTCTCCTTCTCCTTCTCCTTCTCCTTCTCCTTCTCCTTCTCCTTCTCCTTCTCCTTCTCCTTCTCCTTCTTCTTCTTTTTCACCAGTCCCTTAGGTTTTGAAGCCATGATGTTCTTCTTCTGTCTGGACCTCGTTTGCCTTCAATCTTTCCCTGGAGGATTAAGTGAAAGATGCCATATTTTTCTGGATGTCGCATCACATGTCCAAAATATTCTAACTTTCGCTTTTTAATGGTTTTGATAATTTCCCTTTGTTTTCCCAGGTGGCTTATCACCTCCTCATTTGTGATTTTGTTAACCCAGCTCATACCTAACAGTTGTCTGTAAATCCACATTTCAAATGCTTCTTGTTTCTTCAAGTGGTTTTCTGTCAGAGACCAACTCTCTACTCTGTAGAGCAGGATTGAAAAGATGTAACATCTGACAAGCCTGATTTCCAGTCTTAGGCTTATGTTGTGACTGCAGAAGATCTTTTTTCAATTTTGAAGAATGCTATTTGAGCTTTCTCTATCCTTTTTTTACTTCAGTGGTCATGTCCCAGCTTTCATGTAAATTAAAACCGAGATACGTGATCCTTTCAACTTTTTGTAGTGGTATTCCTTCCGAATTTATCAGTGGTAAATTAATGGGCTGTTTGCTGATGACCATAATTTTGGTTTTTGAGGTGTTAAGCCTCTCATTCTACCAGGACATTAATTTGGCACAAACTGATTTTTTCACTTGTCTCTTCCAAGATATCAAGATAAATGAAAGAATGATGGAGCAGTAATATGTCCATGTAAATAAGCTCTGTCACAATTGTCTCTCTAAATGTTTATATCTCCTAAGGAGTCATAGGAATAACAGAATAACTAAGTTAGAAGGTACTTGGAGGTCTTCTAGTCTTCTAGTCCAACTTGCTGGTCAGGTAGGAATTCTTATATCATTTCAGACAAATGATTGTCCAATCTCTTCTTAAAAACCTTCAGTGATGGAGCCTCCACAACTTCTGGAGACAAATTGTTCCACTGATTAATTCTTTTAACTCTCAGGAAATTCCTCTTTAATTCAAGGTTGGCCTTTTCCTTGATTAGTTTCTATTGATTGCTTCTTGTCCTTCCTTCAACCTCTTTTATTGAGATTTATTAATATTTTGCATTCACAGTAGATATCCCTCATTTGTTTAGAGGACTTTTCCATCCTTCCCCTTTTTAATGTCTCCCTGGGTATTTTAAATCTTAAATTGGAACAGAAAACAATTTTCAACCTAACAGAGTTATTTGTATTAACTTCACATTCAGTCTGAAACATCAGAACAAACCTATAGATCAGGAATGAAATTCAGCAGGTTCTAACGGGTTCTGGAGAACCAGTAGCAGAAATTTTGAGTAGTTTGGAGACTGGCAAATACCACCTCTGCCCCAGAGTGGGGTGGGAATGGAGATTTTGCAATATCCTTCCCTCCAGGAGTGGAGAGGGAATGGGGATTTTTCAGTTTCCTTCCCCTGAAGTGGGATGGGAATGGAGAGTTTGCAGTATCCTTCCCCTGCCATGCCTACCAAGCCACACCACACCCACCAAGCCATGCCCACAGAACCAGTAATAAAATAATTTGAATTTCTCCACTGCTATAGTTATAAATAGGATGTGAAGATGGGTTTTCACAGTATTAATTTTGTAATACATTTAATATTTTTAGCTTATTCCATTCATGGAAGTTGTTGAATTCCTCTCTTTACCATTTTTTATATTATGCCCACTTGAATGATGCCATGTTGATTATGGGGCATAACATAAGCTGTAATACCAGGGGCTCCTTATCAATTCCCAATGCCCAATTCTTATAATGCTTCAATAAAAAGTCAATAAAAGAAATTAATATAAAAACATGTATTCATAATAGTGGGTGAAATATATTCTAATATCTGAAGATAAAAAAACAGCTTGCCTTCAGAAGTTGTGGGTGCTTCACAACTTCTGAGTTGTTTTTAAGAGAAGAGTGGGCAGTCATCTATCTGAAATGGCACAGGGTTCCCTGCCTAAGCAGGGGGATGGACTAGAAGACCTCCAAGGTCCCTTCCAGCTCTATTAAGATTATCTGTTTATTAATACAAGTAATGTTTTCCTGCAGCAATAATCATGAAATTACATTAAATGGAAAATTATTTTCAAAACTCCATTGAACCATTTACAGAAATGGGACAAACTGGTCTGTAAAAAGGAGGGAGAACCTGAATTAAAATTAAGCTGATATATATGGCAAACATATCCTTTGCACACCCTTTCAGATTGTTCAGAAGCTCTTGCCAAATCTGATTCTCTTTTATCCTGAAGTGTATGTAAATACTGGCCTAACCTTCCTCTTTATATGACATCATCTCCCACCCTCCTGAACCTGTGGCTGAAGAGCAAAAGCCAGTCTGCCTGGAACTTCTCCACTCAGAAAGAAAAATGATACTTTTGCTCCAACTAGTCTGCATTTTAGCAATCATCAAAGGTAATGGTTCTTTCCTACAGAGATGGAAGCTAACAGGCTCCCATGTGCTTGAAGTGAATGGACTGCGGTATGATGGATAGTTAAAATGTACCTATCAATATTTCATTTCCAGATGTCCAAATGGAGGTCCAGCTGGTAGAAACTGGAGGGGATGTGAGAAGGCCTGGG